TGACGAACTTTTATTCCTTTTCGTCATTGTTTCGACTATAATCGAGTTTAAGTACAATTATAACAATCGTTTGAATTATGTTTCATAGCACATAAGTTATACCGAATGTTTATATTCTTTTTTGGATTTAACATTATTGCCAACACGAAAATTACAATGTCGAATTACGGGTTTTATGCTCTAACACACATAATTATATTATTAGACTTACTATAACAACTATTCTTACTATTATTTAATTTTATTATTGATGTATTACATAAACATGTATCTCAAAAATAATCAAATGTAGTTAAAAGAACTATTTTTTTTACTTTAAATTAGATATTTATTAATATTTAAACTTTCATTTTTAAAGATTATGTTCTACATTGTATTTATTTTTTATTTATTTTTTAAAACTTCATATACTTGTTGTTATTAAATAATTAAGTATGAAATGCCTGATTTCCAACTGAATATATTTAAAGTAATCAAACGTTTTATACATAATGACTTAATACAAAGAATTAGGTCGTAATCAAATAATTGTTTTATTATTTTTTACATAAAAAAATAATTAATTAGAAGTTTTATTTGGTGAATAAAGTTGAGTAATGTAAGATGTAATACATAATTACACTTCGTAAGTTGAACATCAATATCTTGATTCTTTCCGAATATTATTCTTGTAACAATGTTAACATCATCGTGTAGAATTACCTTTTTAAAATTTGCTTGATATATAATTTGAACAATTTTTCCTTATTAAATATGTACTATTAAGTTTTCTTGACCGAATTATTTCTACTTTGTTCATGTTAAATATAATATTTTTATAATAATAAAACTATAAATAATTATTGATAGTTTTATTCGTTTTTTATTTCGTCTTATATTAGACTGCAAATAATTAAAATATCTTGAAGTTTATAAATATATTTCAGTTTATACTGAAATTGTAATTTAAATAACAATTGGTAATTATTTTTTCATCATAACGAGTATACCCGTCAAAACATAAAATAATTCTTTTTCTCGATAACAAGTATGTTTGTCAATTACAGCTAACAAATTAGTTAGAAAAGAGACAGTTACTTTAACTTTCTTTTTCTAAATATACTATATTACTTTAACTTGGTATATTTATAAAATTTATAAAAATGACAAACACTTTATTTACATGATCACAAAGTCGTATGTAGTAAAATTTCAACTATTGTTTCGGTATAATTGATATTATATTTACTACTTCCATGTAATGGCATCGAAAAAAAAAACGTGTAATACTAACGATGCGTTGAAAATAAAAAAAAGGAACAAAAGGAACTCTACAAACTATAAGAAATAATGAAAATCAACGCAAATTTCTTCATACCAAAAAAAAATTCATAAATTAATTCGTATACTAGAGATTTAACTGTATTTACTATTACCGTTTATTGATTTTATTTATTCTAAAAATATTTATATTAACTTATCTCTTTCTAATGAAGAAGTGAAGAATGAACTTAAATAATAAAATAATTATTAATTGGTACGTTTGTAAATATATCTTATCCAATTATCTTTAAGTTTGATAAAGATAAAAGATAAACGACTGGTGTTTATATAATAATTTTCGATATAATAGAGTAGAATTAATGAAAATTTAATTCGTAGATCATTCAATTATTTATTTATAAATAATCTATGGATTCTTAGAAATTAAATAAATCCTAAACGAAAATTACTATCACGGAACTATCATTAAGTATGTACATTTAAATATTTAATAGAGAGAAGAAGAGAAAGAAAAACAAGAGAGACAGAGAGAAAAAAAATGATGTTCGAAATGAAAGTATTTGTTTGAACATTGATCTTGTCAATTTAATATAAATGTTTCTCAACGATAAACGCATAATTGTCGATCGAGCTTTAACCAAGAGGAAGGAAATAATTAATTAATTTGATAGAAAAATAGAAACGAAAACGTTCAACTACATAGATGTATAATATGTAATTGCGTGTTGCGTGCGTGTGCATGAGTTTTCTTTTTTTTTATATATAAAAATATTTTTTTACATAAATTATATATTTTTTGATGAAGATACAAAAACGAAGATTGCTAATTTTTTTTTTTTTAACAAATTCGAATTAATTTCAAACAAAATACAACATGATCGGACAAAGATTAACCGTTTATGAAATAATTATTAATTAAACTTTTAATTACATATATTTAGAAACGTACTGTAAAATATTTGTGAATGAAAGTAAAAAGTGAATAGAAATATGGGATTTAAATTATTTTATACGTTTAGCAATAAATTAAACGTTTCAATAAATTCCATCTGTCATTTTATGTTATTTTATTATCTTAAAGATTATAATTCGAGTTTCAAAAGTTTATGTAAAATTATTTTAGCATTTATACATTAAATATAAGTAGGATTAACCTTTGTGTGAAAAATAATTATTTATTACATAAATTATAATTGTATATTTAAAAATTTTAAATAATTAGAAAGAAATTTAGACAAATTTTGTTTCAATTTTTATTAATACATAAGAATAGAAATGCAGAAAAAGGAAATTTATATTTTTATATGATAAATAATGTTTTTCCTTTTTTACGTAAGATTTTTCGAATGGATGATTATGAAATCATGTATTAACTTTAGAATCAATTATCGTGCGTTAATGCGAAATTAAATGTTTGCTATTTCACATTTAAATGTTAACAATAAAAGTAACATCTTATTAACCTCGACAAAAAAAAATTAATAATAAACGTTATCAATAAACGAAAGCTAAATTAGTTATGTAACGATATAGGTCAAAAAGAAACATGAAAAAAAATAACGTATTAACAAGAAATCGAACTATATTGCAATTACGATCCACACTGTATGTTGTGTATATTATGAATGTTTAGAGGACCAAGAAATATAATATACCGATATAAAGAAAAATTGTCTAGTTCTTTGTTTTACTGTATCGAATCTTTAAGTTTTTAAATCCAATTACGAATTTGAATTATCAGAAAATATTGGATTAGCAAAAAAAGTTTTTTTCATATTTTAATGCAAAGTGAAATAAATTTTTGTTTTATATTTTCTATCCAATCTTCTCCAAATTTAATTTTAACTATATTATTATCTTCTATATACTTACATGCATGTGTAAATATGTAATGTAATATTTTAACTTGATATTGAAAAATGGGTCATTCTACTAGAATTTCAAAGATTTCTTGGGTTTCTATATTACCTTGAGAAATAGATTTGCATAGATGTAAGATCAGTTCACATGTGCATTTTTATTTCCATCATTTTTTACAATAGCAGTGATTATCTTACATTTACATAACAATCATATTTAATTACAATTCATAATACAATACAAAATTGGCATTGTTTATGTAGTACATAAAAAATCAGTTAAAGTACAATATGTATTTTTATTTCCTTCATATCTTTTTTTTTTATTTGGCACTTATTAACTTCTTGTATTATGTGATAATCGTGATAATCATATTTAATTAAAATTTATTAAAATATATATATATATATATAATTAGCATTGCTTACGTGGTATAAATAAAAAGCGTAAAAATATAAAATAATAATGTGTCTTTTTACTTTCCCTTTTACGAGTGTGAGTTATTTCTTTACAATCACCATCTCACACCTTATCCAATAAAATCAAGAAGATTATGCTTTTATTCTTTTTTTTCTATAATCAATAGCACAGCATTTTTGTTTTTCTGAACAAGTCACTCATGCATTTTATTAACCGTATCCACATTGTTTGACTTGAATGATTTGACGGAAAGTATTATAATTACCCAACTTTACTACACTGTTGACTCATACATGATAAAGTACGAAAAATAAAATTCCATATCAAAACAATTAATGAAATCGCGAGAAGAAATGAAGTTATATTATTACGTAACAATGATGTGTAATATAAAAGTAAATATACAAAATGATATCTCTTGAACTTTAATGATTATCATACTAATCGAGTGAAAGTATTAAAGTAAGATAATAACTTGTTAGTTACAGGAAAGTTTATATATTTCATAATGATTATAAATTTTCATACATCGCATGTTATTCTATATAAGAATCTTTATCTGTACAGAACGTTATAAGATTTCTTTTGTTTCATTATTAAGATAACTTAAACAAATGTTTATAAAAGAATTTTAATAATTTCACAAATTAAAAATTCGTAATTTTTTTTTTGTAAATACGAAAAAAATAGAAAATGCATTTGAAGAAAAAATTATTTAATTTATTTAACATATCAAATAATTGAATAAAATATAAGATGTCATAATCTAACATACATCCACACACACAAATATTTTTTTATGATAAACTATGAACTATACGAATAATCTCTTCCGAAAAAACGAAATTTAACGATCCTACGTAAAGTTAGACAAAATTAGAAAATTGAAATAAATAAACATACATTCACATACAACAAACGAAATTATCAAAATGAATAATAATATAAAATCCAGCAATATTGACGTTACATATTTACGGAACATATTTATCAAAATAATTTAATAAAATAACAAATACCGCAATCGCATAAGTTGAATGATAAACAACGACTTATATCGTTTTAGTTTAGCCTAAAATCAGTAATTTATATTTCCATCCTTTTTTATGAAGAAATAAGAAAATTACTAATTTACGTTGTTATAATTACTAATAGTATAATTTACTAGCCATTATTCCATAAAAAGCATCAATGGCAATGTGTTAAAGCATTTATAAAAAAGCATAGAAATTTTAAACCTAATTTTTCCTATTAATAATTAGTAAATAGCTAAAACTTATTGTCAGATTAGCATAAATGTTAGTTAATGATTATTGGCTCTTTTAATTAAACGTTTTTTAACTACAAGAGCTTTAACAATGTTTACAAAAATAATATGATGAAATTGAGAGATAAATAAAACAACTGTGTGCAGCTTAAAAAGAATGAATTGTTGTTGTTATTATTATTATTATTATTAAATGATATTAAGAACTTGAAGGCTTATTTTTTCGAATACTAAAGATCCCGTTAATTTATTCAGTTCCTAACCATTTTTCTTCCATTCACAACCTTTGTACCCTACTTTGTTAAAATCCATTTTAATTATTTATCTTTCAATATACGTCTTAGAGTCTTTTCCCATTGGGTTTACCAATTGGTATATTTTATATGTTATTCGATCTTCCTCCATACGCGTTATCACGTAACCTTTCTATCTTAATCAATCGACGTGATTTTGTGACGTAATATCCTGAATATTGTATAATATAATTGATGTAATTCTACATTTCACACTTTTCTCTATTCCCCAGTTTTCTTATAACATTTTTCACCGATGATTTTTTGAAATAGATTATTTTCAAATATGTAGCAAATTGAGTATTATCCCTTGAGTTATCCAAAGTCAACCTTTTTACTAATATTTATTTACATATTTATATAAAATTTTGTATTATTATATAAAATTTATTTCGTATTTGACACGTAGACGCTCGATCCCACAAATACCTTAAATTTGATGTCTTATCTTTAAACGTAAATGACCATACTTCGTTGCCATAAAGGATTACCTTTCTGTAAATTTTAATTTTGAAACATTTAATCAAAATCCGTGAAACGAATATTTTAATAATCGAATAACAACATGCATCCTTAAATGAATTTTTTTCATAAAAACATCAGATTAATCGTAATAACGTAGAAAAATAAATATCCGTTTAAAATCCATCAACTTTGATGCCATTTGGTATACGAAAGATTCTCTGTTTTAATGGAAGCTCACCAATGAGATAATTTTTAAGTGTTTCTTGTGCGATTTTCGAATGTCCCGCTCCAAAAAAGCTCAGAGTAGCGTCTCTTCCAGCATATTCTAAAAGAACATCTTGTCCACCAGGATGATTCTTCAATAATTCGGTACAATCGTAAACGTAATCGTAAATTACAATCCAAATACTATCAGGTGTATCATGCCAAGCAACTTCATCCAAACTAATACAACGAAGTTCACTAAGTTTGTTACCATCTTCGTTTCGTTTAGATTTTCTCGAAGCTTTTTCCTTTGACGTAACATTGGAAGATGTTTCAGAAGTTTGTTCTTTATTGACGCATACAAAACTATCACATTTCTTTTCCGAATCTTTCAGATCCATAGTTCGAAAGGTCAAACCAAGAAGATCCATCCTTGTCGAGTTCTCCTGTTCTGTCCTGAAAGAAATATACAATCTCTTTTCAACGTAAATTGATAAAATTGACAACATGTGATGATTTATCTTCACTTCTATTTTAAAATACAATTACTTTAACTCTTTGACTACTAGCTACTCTTAGTCGAAGCACTTCTCGTGAGCGGCGTGCGGCCAGCAATAGCGGTCGCTGGGGACTGAATACTTTTTCGGGCAATATGGATCTTGTGAGCGGCATATTAACCTTTGCTTACCACACTGGGTCCAAAGGACCTAGACCTTTTTCGCAACTCAATTTTAAGTACTTAAAGGAAATGATAACCGGTCTACTACACCATTTCCCAATAGTTGAAGAGTTTAAGCACCCTTCAGACCGTTTTGCATAACGTTAGAGCACTTAGTATACTTTTGGTAGCTGTTAAAAAAGTGGTCTGCGTCCAAAGGACCCGAGTGTGATAAGTACGTTTGAAAATAATTTTTTGGAATGAATTTTTTTTTATGTATTTTGGCTTTAGATTGAAGAAAAAAGTATATAATATATGTTTAGCAACGTTTAATTTTTTTATAACAAATATATAACATTTTAATAACGATAATTGTTTATTGGAGCGACGATATACGATTCACGCTATACGCTATTTTGTTAGAGTATAAACACGTGGCGCTGTTTGCCATGAACATTTTGTCGCTATGTGCAACGATTGTTGTGATATATAATAAAAAAAATACTATTTTTATACATGTTTCATTCATTTTACATTAATTTCATATAAATGTAATAAAATAATAAGATTTTGAATAAATATAATACTCCAACAGCTGATATAATGGAGTATTTTGAAGAAAACGAGTATTTCATTTTTTCATCTTTTTTTCGGTAATCATTCTTCAAATTAAATATACTTTTTGAAAGATCCACTAAACTACTATTTTTTTTTTCTTGTACTAATGCACTAGTAGAAGACTCAGCTAAATCTTTAGGCCTTAAATTTGGTAATTTTTTAACTATATTTAAATTTAATTTAAAGCTATATAACCTATATAATCTTTTTAAGTAAGTATTAAAGAAGTCTCAAAAAAATGTTGAATTAAATCTATGCAATAGTTTCTTTTTTATAACAATTTTTCTCACCCGGGTCCAAAAAACCCGGGTGTGGTAAGCGTGTTACTCCAGGGAAGTGAAGTAAACAAAGGTTAATACATTGTAATATAATTCATAATCCAATTACTATTACTTTGCCTACTGCAAAACGGATCAAATAATTTTTTTTATTTTTAACATATATTGTTTATTTACCAATGGTTAAGTTTTAAAACACCATAATTTGATAGTTATAAATTATAACTATACATTTTTTTTATAACTTATATAATGTATATATTTGGATATTAGAAATTGAAAAATTGAACAAATAACAAGTAAGTAACATAAGTACTGTAAATTTAAACAAAAAATTTATTAATTTTTATTTATTATTTTTTAATTACACAAAAGTAGATTATTTATTAATAAAATGTAATATTACAATAAGTATGCTAATGCAACGATCACACCTCCCTCGCAACAAATGAAACGAATTTAAGACAGAGAATGACTGACCAAATAAACGAAATTTCATTTTTTTCGTTGCTAATCAGCGAGGTTTAAGATTTCTGCGAGTGTATTGGACATGTAAAAGAGAAACCATTTCGGAGCATACATATAAAACAACAGTAAATAACCAAAAATTCGCCGAGCGCGCATTTGCGTCCATAGTCTATATCGATGGTTTACGTCGGACGCATATTTAAGCCCATAGGCCACACCAATAGTTTTCGCTGGACGCACATTTGCTCCCGTAGCAGTCAAAGAGTTAATGAATCATCCTCATCCCCTGTAGGTCAACTTTTAATAAATGTGGTTCAACATAAAATTGTTAAAACATTGAGATTTTAATTGGTCTAATTTTATTTTTATCATTATCTGTTGCAATTCGAGCGTCACACAATTGACCCAAATACCGATAACGCAGAATGCATACGAAGATGTAGTTTAATTTTGTTGAAAATTGGTATTCAATGGTATCGTGGGTCGTTGATTATAAATCTGATATTATTTTTTTTTAAACCAATGCCTTTTTTGCTATCTTAATGCCCCTTTCGCTATCAAAATTTATCACGTTCTCAAAATATTTTGGATCAGTAATAATTCCTTAATTCTAACAAAATTTACGGACCAAGTCAATATAAAACATAAAATAATTTCGCCATTTGTCGACGATAAATTTAAGGGTTGCTTAAAGAAAATTTGTATGAGAATTTTGAAAACCAAGGATTGAATCATAAATATAGTTGTGTGCATTACATTACAAAATAATTTATAAAAGCTAACGTTCACAATTACGCAAAGTTCGTGCGTTTATTGTGTTATAAACTGCATAATGGATTGTTTTTATAAAATTTACATAGGAAATATTAATAAAAAAAAAAAAACACACGACCTTTTGATTCATCCTTATATTTTGTAAGAGATTCAATAAACAATTTAAATTCAATCAGAGCACATTTAGTCTTAATCATCGTACACTTATAGCTATTTGAAAAAATATATTTCTAATATTTCTATTTATCAGCGAAAAACTCGTTGCAATTTACTTTCTAATAATTATGCAAATTTTTAAAAATATTATTTAATTTTACTTATTGTCAGGCAAAGATTCCACAGTTATAATATGTTGAAATTAGAACAATATTATCTGCAGTTTACGCATTTTCGTGGCTCATTGTGGCAACAACAAATGCGTTGCGCTTAAAGCTTTTGACAATTTGCACAGGTTTACATAGGTATTTATCCATAATAAATGATAGATAGAGGTGCCATTGGGTCCTCTAAAAATATTCTAAAGATTAGGAAAATTATTTTTTTCGTGGCATTTATACATTAGTATTAGGAAGGTATTTTTTTCGAATTTGGAAGTTATGTGAATCGTGTTAATACTTTTTATTTAAAAAATTACACCGCTGGAGACAAATAATTTTATTAATTATTGCCCAAAAAAAAAAAAAAATTAGGCATATTTGAATTTATACAATCGCGCTGTAATAAAAATAACACATTTACTGAATTTTATAAGTGTTGTTATCGCAAACCCTTTTATACTAAAAAATATATTGAACTTAAATACAAGTACTTCAAAGTTGTGAATGTTGCTATTGTTATTATTATACATGGTGAGTCAGTATTAATCGAATATTTGACTGTTTCTCTTATATTAAATTTAAAGTTATAAGGTATGTCTAAATTAGAATCAAAATAGTTCTAAAGAAAGCACGTGGTTATAATAAGATCATGTTTTTCAATGTTATTTTTTTAGATAATTTTTAGGTCAAAGGACATAAAGTATGACCTAACAGACACAACAAATAAACAGCTTGCAAACTAAATCTTACATTCCTTGATTTTTATCTGTTAGGATATCAGAAAAATAAAATTCATCGAGAAAAACCAATCACTGCGGAAGACATTAAAAAAAGAATCATCAGAAGTTATAAATAAATTCCCTCTGAAATGAATCATAAGTCATAAGATTTCATATTCTTTGAGACCAAATAAATATATTGTAGTTTAAGGAAATTAATTTGCACATTTAGCATTATATAGATAAAGCAAATTATCCTTACATAAGCAACAAAAATGTAATTCAGAATGCAATATGAAAAGACGCTGATGACCTAAAAAAAAACAACTAAAATGATATTATTAAAAAACATGACATTATAATGAACACATGCGTCCTTCGAAATCATTTTTATTCTAATATAGACATTGTAATTTTAAAACTCAACAGATATATTCAAGAAATTTGGTTAATTCTGACTCACCTTGTGTAATAAAATGTAGAAAAAAATAATAATAAACAAAGAAACACAGTTACGATTACGATAATTCACGTAATTCCACTAATAGTTTCTTTATAAGTACACAAATTTATTTTAATGACTATTCATTTTCATTTACAGAATTATGCATGAATAAAATTTATATATTTAACTTCACACACACATATGCACATATACAGCCTTGTTTATCGCTTTTTCGCTATTTCTTGATATTCCGAGATCGATTTATTATTAAAATAAATAACCGGGTAATTAAGAAAATAAACAAAATTAAACTTACTTATTTGTGATTATTATGAAAAGGAATATTTCAAATTCTGGTACAAAGGTTTTAATATAATGAATTCGTAAATGTAACTATAATAGAACAATATATATTATTGAACAAAATTTATTATAAACGTACTCGATACTTGCTTTATTCGTACTACACCGATACCGAGTTGTAAATATTCTAAATATGTAATATATTCAAGATAAAATTATAAACTTTGTAATAAATCTCGACCTTCACCTCTTATCTTGATGAACTTGAATACATTTCAAAACTACCAAACACAATCAAAAACAAATTTGCATGTATACTAAATATATAGAGTTAATCGAATGTTTTGTGACATCACACATTACGATTGTGGAAGCAAATAAAAAATAACATTAGGTGATTACACTTACATCAAGGATGATTCTTTCTCGATCGACATTGCACGGCGTACTGACTATCGGTTAAGTCAAAATGTCAATTCCTTTGGCGAAGGGAAAATAATTTCATTACCGGTTGAAACCTGATGCGTGCAAACGAGGTGTTCCCTCGGTCACGCACGGTAATCCAATGCTTCTACTTCGAGTACGTATATATATGGCTTACTTCGTATATTTTCTTATGAAAACTACTTTCTTCCAAACAGATTAATAATATTTTAAACATTAGAAATATTAAGGGAATATTATAATAATATTCTATTTTATGAATATTATTTCATATTATTATTATTAATATTCTTTTTTATAAATATATTATTTATTACATACGTATATTACATTATTTAGTATATTATCTCAGTATATTTATATTAGAGAAATCCGTTAATTAGTAAAATGACCAACTAAATAAATCAATATACTGACCTGTTATAATATAAAATAGGGCAGAACTACGTACTTTAATTATTAATAATTATGTAAGATTCGTGAAAAAAAACTGGACCGCTGGACCGACTACTGGGACCGGGGACTCGAACCACGGATCTTTCGCTTTCCGGGCGATTGCTCTTTAACCAATTGAGCTATCCAGAGCCCACCGACCAGTTTCCTTCCACGAATGCTTATCAAGTTTGGCATGGAGGCGTTCGTCCCACAATTATTATATGAATTTTCAAGAGGTAAATACTTAAAATATGAGATTGAAATTTGATTTCAAGTATACAGAAAAATCAAATTGAAGTTTTTTGTTATAGTAATGTAACGGTATAAATTTCTGTTTGTTGTGTTCTCTCTGTATCACCTGTTTCACAAACCAGTTCTGTATGCCAATAAAGCCGATCATGTGTTATTATTTGAAATTATAAAGAATAATAAATAAAAAGTTAGGTTATGTAGGTTGTAAATTGAAGTATTATTATTTAAAGTTATAAACAACAATAAATAAAAAGTATAGTAAGGAGTTTTTTGAATAAAAAAAAAGGAAAGTAATAGAACAAAATACTGGGTTCACTTTGCTTGTCACCCTATTTTTGGTACGTTACTGTTGGAACGTCCACATTTGATTATGATCGGAATAGGAAATTTCTTTAACCCTTTCGCTACTACGAGCGACTATAGTCGCTCTCCATGTGATGCCACTCAGGTACTACGGGCGACTATAGTCACTTTCCATGTGATGCCGCTGAGATACTACGAGCGGCTATAGTCGCTCCCGCTAAAGATGTCGCGTAATTGTATATATGATAAGCGCCTGCAGTTGCTATGCACAGAGTATCTCACTCTAGACATGCCGCGTAAGTCTTTCGTTTTGCATCATTTGTTTTTTACAGGCTTCAATAATAAACCAAATGCCTCGATCATAAGTCTTACGACACCGGCTCGAACGTTGCGTGCACCGTGCACTGTTTCGGTGTAGCGCGCCGTACTGCGGGAGTACCGCGGCGAAGATCCGCCCCGTAGCGAAAGGGTTAAATATCTATATTACCTATTTAATTATAAATATATATATATAATTTTATATAAAAATACTTACTCTCAAAATTTCAAAATATTTCATATACAAATCACCAATCAAATTATTTTCAAAGTATAGTTGTGGGAAATAGTTATTATCACGATCTATGCAGATCAATAGAAATTAGGCACAAACGGATGAACGATCTAGAAAAAGCTATCAATGTAATCATTTATTTCAAATATTTTATTTCGTACTCTAATAAGCGAGCTATATTTTCATTCGTATGATTGATATCTGTTTCGGCGTCCAAGCGAAACACGTATCGTAAATATATATTTAATTATTAAATACACTTATATTTTTACTTCTTTCGTTAACCCATACTTTATACCATAAAATTCTACCAATCTTCAACAAATCATTATTTTTCAATAAACTAATTTCTTATTACAATGACAAAACCTACAGTTGTTCGTTCATCGAACGATTACTGATTGAAAATTAAAACAATTTGTAATTAACAAGAATTGCTCCAACATAGTTCCTTGGGTCCTTGCTGCAAATTTTACCTCCTTTCCTTTTAGAAAATTTGCTACAGTAGTTAAATTGATTTTAGGATTATGCTATATATCGTGACAATGTAATTGATTGAAGAACTAAAGTACATTGATATTAATGTTTATTTATGATCGTAAGTGTCCCTGTGTTCTTATTTATCTTTCTTTTTTTCATTTAATCAATTAAAAACTTATCGTTTGTTTTATTTCAATCCAAACAACAGCATTTATTTAATTAAATGAAATTAATTGAACGAATGGATTTAATGGATTTAATTAGTTGACTAATTTATTGATTTTTAAAGTGATTATTTTTTCTACTTAATTAATTTTTTATTGTTACTTATATATACTTTATGATAAATCGTTTAAGAATAATCGCGTAATATAATAAAAATTAATTATAAAATGCAATAATTTTTTGCATTCGTAACGAACAAGATTCGTAATAATTGCACGTTATGAAACATATCAAATGTAAAACAATAAATTTTAGAATCAAAAGAATACTCATCAATCACACTAATAAAAAAAAATTTCTGCCAAAGAAGATTTCTTCGTTATCGACAAAAATGAATATCATCCTGAAAGATTATCTACATATCAAGTGGAAAGTGTTAAACTTTAGAATATAGTATCAATCGTTACATTAACAGAAAAAGGTTATACGAGAAGATTTCTTCGTTATCGACAAGAAAAGATTTCTTCATTAAAAATTATCTACCATAACACAAAGATAACCATTAAATTGAATGTCGATATCATTTGCAATAATAATCAATTAGTGCTGGCATCTTGTGTCAAAAGCACGAACATTATTTAACAGATAAGATGAATAACCGACTAACAGTAACATCAACAACAAAAAATACATGGATAAATATTGTATTAAAAATTTTCAAAAATTAAATATTAAGCGATTAAAAAATTTAACGCTATAGTTTTTAAATAAATATTAACAATCTTACAACCCCTTCCCCATATCTTCTTATATTATATATTTTAGATCAAAAATATAGTAAATTTCCTTTTAAGAAGTGAGGCCGCTCTATTCGTTAAAAACATAACCTGTTTTAGAGAACTTTTTAGGAAAGTATGGTAAGTGGAAAGCAAAATTCGTTTTTGTACTTTAAAATTATATTGTAGCTATTTAAATACATTATTTAATTTTGCGCCTTATTTTACATTGAAAAATAAAAATTTAATATTTTTTACATATATGAATAAAAGAATTTTTTTAAATCGCCAACGTCTTTCCTAAAATATAGTAATTATATACAGTGAATGTAAAAAGTATTTATCGAGCAGCCAATTTGAATAAAAATTTTAAAGAACCTTGTTTTTATTATTAAATCGTCTTAACATAAAATATGCATACTTATTCTTAAAATCTGTAAAACTAATGTTATTAAAAAATAATTATTTATTTATATTTGTTATCGTAATATTAACAAATTTTTAGAAATTAATAGAAAATATACGTGCAATAAATATCCATTAAATTCATAATCAATAAATAACTAATTATTTTGTAATAACATTAGTTTCAGAGATTTTTAAGTATATGTATATATATATATATATATTTTTTGTTAACATTTTTTTGTAATAAACAAAATTCTACGAAGTTTTTGTTCAAATTGATTGCTGTATGAATACTTTTTACACTTACTGTAGGTCCAGTATAAATTTCAAATAAACGGGTCACACATGAACTGTTGAAATTTTGTGGAACACTAAGCTCGATATGAGTTTCCATTTGTTAAGCTGTAGCGCTGTCATTTTTTGAAAACCCACAATAGAAAAATTTGTGAATGTTGTTGAAAGTGTTTATAATAAAGTACTATGAACGTATTTTGCCTTGCATTTACCATATTTCCATTATAAAATACTTAAAAATAAATTCTCTTTTTCCAAGTGGTAGAGTGGTTTTATTCCTTAAAGGAGGTATTCTAGTCTAAAACTTTGAAAAATTGGATTGTTACCTTCAATTTTTAAAAGTTTAGAAATCTTTAAAAATATGTTTCAAAAAAAAAATTTTGAAAATTTACAAAATTATAATTTTAATACGGTATGATCAGATATTTCTCAATTTTACTTTAAAACTTTAAACGCATTTTTATTAATACTACTTTTTCAAACTTATCTTACATGATATCTCAAGTTCTATTTATCCAATTGTCTTAAAATTTAGCATGTATTTTCAGTACACGTTGCTTTATAATAGGAACAACGGATATTGCTAAATTTTAATTTCAATTATTTTTAAAAAATAAAATACTTTTAAAAAAAGTAAAGAATACAAAATTTTTTTATTTCTACCATAATAACAATCTTTTTAAAAAAATTTTTTGAATTTTGTTTTTGGTTTTGTTTGAGATGAACACAAACTATAAATCCCATCACTTTTTTTCCACAACAATGTTTAAATAATTGTAAATCTTTGAATTTTTATTTTTAATATAAATAATTGTTATTGTATGATTTTATATTAATAGTCTTTTTTTATTAAAACCTAAAAGAATCCGAAATTATCACTCTGTAGTTTAGAGTACTCCCTTAAGGGATTACCGCGATCTGTTTTCTGTAATTTTTATGCGCGAAAATTGTCTAATATCAAAACAATGAATAAATCAGGCTTCATTATTTCAAATAATTTAAAAATCAGCCTGGAGACAAATCATCAAGCATCACAAGGGAGTTACTTGTGTAACGTCGGAGAAACGAGTGACCTGTTTCCCTTGTCGCTAGTAGAATCTATTGAATTTCACGAAGCGCGTTACAGAAGTCGTTGCCTTCGATTTTCTGGTAAATAGGATTGCGCGGAACTTTTCTTTGTTCTGGACAACGGAATTCATTGTCAGCAATTTTATAATCGAATTAAAAAAATAAAACCGATTTTTATACACAGAAAAATCTATATTCAAATTTGAAGAAAAAAGAAAATATAAATCATCGATTTTTTTTTAATTTTATTATTATATACTCATGCATTGAAAAAACATTGGTTTGAAGGAATATTGTCTGCCAAAAGATATGATATCGTAAAAACTGTCATCCGAAAAGAACTCGATCTGATCAATTTTTTCAATTATCTTCTAAGAAAATAAATTAAAAGATAATAGTAGAAAAGCGAAAGAAATAAGAAGA